GCATGCATGTATATATATATATATATATATGCATGCATGTATATATATATATATATATATATATATATATATATATATATATATATATATATATATATATATGCATGCATGTATATATATATATATATATATGCATGCATGTATATATATATATATATATATATATATGCATGCATGTATATATATATATATATATATATATATATATATATATATATATATATATATATATATATGCATGCATGTATATATATATATATATATATATATATATATATATATATGCATGCATGTATATATATATATATATATATATATATATATGCATGCATGTATATATATATATATATATGCATAGCATATATATATCTGGTGGTCCACAACTGAATCAGGAGACTCACCGAGTTGTTCCAGTCCATGTGGTCTCAAGAGAAACTTCCCCAGGAATTCAAAGACGCCTCAGTCGTCCACCTCTACAAACGGAAGGGGAACCGGCAGGCATGCGACAACCACCGTGGCATCTCACTGCTCTCTATTGCTGGGAAGATACTGGCCAGGGTCCTACTGAACCGTCTAATTTAACACTTGGAGCAAGGTCTATTACCGGAAAGTCAGTGTGGGTTCAGACAGGGCCGCAGCACCATGGACATGATCTTTGCTGCACGCCAACTGCAGGAGAAGTATCGGGAGCAGAACGTCAGCCTCTACACCACCTTCATGGATCTGACCAAAGCCTTTGACACGGTCTGCAGAGAAAGGCTCTGGAAGATCATGTCCAAGTTCGGCTGCCCTGAGAAGTTCATCTCCCTGGTCAGGGAATTCCATGATGGCATGCAGGCCTGCGTGCTGGACGATGGAGACCACTCGGCGCCATTCCCTGTAAAAAAAACGGCGTCAAACAAGGCTGTGTGCTCGCCCCAACTTTGTTCAGCATGATGTTCTCTGCGATGCTGACGGATGCCTTCCGTGATGGCGATATCGGAGTCGGTATCAAATACCGGACCGATGGAAAACTGTTTAACTTGCGGAGACTGCAGGCCAAGACCAAGGTTCAGGAAGACACCGTCCGTGACTTTCTCTTCGCAGATGATTGCGCATTAAATGCTGGCACTCAGTCGGATATGCAGGAAAGCATGGACAGGTTCTCCACAGCATGCAACAACTTCGGACTTACAATTAGTACAAGGAAGACCGATGTGATGTTCCAACCAGCTCCTGCAGCCTCCTACACAGAGCCCATCGTCACGGTCAATGGCCAGAAACTCTCAGTGGCAGACAAGTTTGTCTACCTTGGCAGTACTCTGTCACGATCCGTGACCATCGATGAGGAGGTCTCCTACAGGATTGCCAGGGATAGTGCAGCCTTTGGCAGATTCCGAGACAGAGTATGGGAGTGAAGAGGGATCAGCCTGCGGACAAAGCTCAAGGTGTACCGTGCCGTTGTCCTCCCCTCCCTTCTGTATGCGTGTGAAACCTGGACGGTGTACAGTCGGCATGCAAAACAGCTGAACTCATTCCACATGAGGTGCCTCAGGAAACTGCTAAACATCAAATGGCAGGACAAAATCCCAGACACAGAGGTACTCCAGAGGGCAGAGATGGAAAGCATTCATGCCACACTGAAGCGCTCACAACTCAGATGGGCAGGGTATGTGTGTCGCATGTCCGATGAGCGTTTGCCAAAGAGACTGATGTACAGCGAGCTGAAAGATGGCAAGCGCTGTCAGGAAGGACAACGCAAACGCTACAAGGACACCCTCAAGGCATCGCTAAAGTGCTGCAACATCAATCCCGACACTTGGGAGAAAGCAGCACAAGACCGCCCTTCCTGGCGTGCTTCAGTGACCACTAGAGCAAAGGGCTTTGAAGCGAGGCGCGTGGAAGAGGAGCAGCATAAACGCCAGCGTAGGAAGAGCAGAGCAAACACCACCTCCCAGCCTAGCCAACCGTCGGCACTCACGTGCCAACACTGTGACAGACAATTCAGGGCGAAGATCGGACTGTTCAGCCATCTTCGCACTCACAACCCTCAGTGAGATCTGAAGTCGAGGTCGTCTTCACCTGCGAAGGACGAACATCATCATATATATATATATATATATATATATATATATGTATGTATGTATGTATATATATATACATATTTGGTGGACAATAGGACATTTGCATACAAAATATCACACGAAAATATCACACAAAAGGTTCTCATCCATGCATTCACGGCGATGACAAAGAAAATGAACATCTCTCATGACGTCATCCCGGGGTTGGTAGCGCTACTGGTAATCTATGAGTTAAGCGGCCCCTAGACGTTCAATATTATTGCGCAATATTTTGGTTTGTGCAATATAATTGATCGTGTGTGGGCAATATTGAAAGGTTGTGCAATATATTGTGTGATTTTCAAAAACTTAAAAATATATTGCGCAAACGGGATAATATTGTGTCGTCTGTTGGCTATATTGCGCAATATCCTGTCAGTCTCTCTCCAGCAGTCGTGTGAGGTGTTTGTCTCTCTCCTCAACCACGCGTATCATGGGTGACAAGAAAGCCGAAAAAGAATTCATTGCTGAATTTATTGAGGTGTATCGTGGTCTTCCCGCCCTGTGGGATGTGAAATGCAAAGATTATACAAATCGTGCCAAAAAGGGGGAGCAGTACGATGTGCTGATAGAAAAGTACCGTGAAAAATATCCGGATGCTGAGAAACAAGAAGTAGTAAAAAAAGTAAATTCCCTGTGCTGCGGAAAGATGGTTATTGATCCTTTGAACATTGGATGAGCCACACATTATATCTAAAAAACGAAGCATTTTGATGAAAAATGTTATTCATGAAAACGTCTTTAAATTAGGTTAGGCTACGTTTGGTTATGTTAGGTTTAATTAGGTTAGGTTAGGGATTTTTTTTATTTGACACTCTCTAGGTAAAATAACACATTGTAAGACGTTTTTCGTGAATACCATTTCTCGGAAAAATGCTTAGTTTTCGAGGTACCTCATGATTTAACTATTTATTTTAATGTTCTTCAATTTTTATTACTATTGAGGATACTCTTCTCGATTCAGTTATTGGTCGAGCCAAGTGCGCCGACATTTTTCCATTGCCATGAAACCTGGCCTTCATTGTTGAAGTAATCAGAATAGGTTTCTCTGACTGCTTTAGCACTATTTGTTGCGTTTCTGGAGGTAGTGTTTGGCAGAAGTGGTGTTATCTCATTTACAACATCCCTCCATGACCCTTTCGTGATGACACCTGCCTGCAAATCCTCACAGTCCACGAGTTGCGTTGTGACATAAGCTCGTGAATGTCGCTTGCGTAAAAAGTTATGCAAATAACAACATGCCAAGGCAACTATTCGAGCTTTTTCAGGAGAGAGTGCTATTGGCTTCTGTAACACACCAAATCGGCTGACCAAGATCCCAAAGGTATTTTCGATCACACGACGAGCACGACTCATTCGGTAATTGAAAATTCTTCTATTCACATTTAATGCTGATTGGGGGTAAGGTTTCATAACATTTTCGGTTAGTCCAAAGGCATCATCTCCCAGAAAAACGAATGGCAATATTTTCTGACTATTCGGCAGTTGTGTTGGTTTCGGAATTCCCAATGTATTACCAGCAAGCGCCTGCCCGAATTTCGTGTAACTGATTACACCACCGTCCGATACTCTTCCATTGACTCCTACATCAACCATCATGAACTCATAGTTGGCATTTGCCACTGCCATCATCACAATGCTGAAAAATTTCTTATAATTGAAGTAAAGGGATCCAGAATTGTCAGGTTTCTTGATTGCGACATGCTTGCCGTCGATTGAACCCAGGCAGTTGGGGTAATTCCACTAATCGTAGAAATCTTGTGCAATTTGTTTCCATTCTTGGGTTGTAGTTGGTACCTGCAACAAAGAAAAACAACTTGATAAAGGATATATAACATGTTGGTTCGCTCTCATTTTGATGTGACGTATGTGACGTTACATTTTCCATCCGTTTCGGCGTCGTTTTCTGTTCATTACCGTAACCATCAGCAGTGCAGACAATTTTCATCTCGCAGTGGTTTTATCTCAGCATTATTCAAAGTAACATTCATTTCCGTATATAACATTAATTTTTGGGAGAAATAAATAGTTTTGAGTTATTCGCTTCTGAAGTTATTTTCTTCCTATCTATTACCCAAGGAATCGAAACTTTAGTAAAGTCGTGATATTCAGTCTAGTTAGGTTAGGTTGGGTTAGGATAGGTTAGGGACATCTATTAAAGGACATTTATTAAATGCCCAACCTTATACTTAAACTTAATTAACTTTAATCTTTTCCTCAGGTGGATGATGAATCTCGTCAAAAGAACAGGAAACGTAAAGCTCCAGATCCCACTGAGGAATTGGTGAAATTGGCCTCCAAACGCCTTCAACAACCACAAGACGACAGTGACATAGTTGCTGCAGCTTGGGCAGTCGAGCTCCGAAAAATGGATCCACAACAGCAGTTGTTTGCAAAGAAGGCCATCAATGAGATACTGTTTGAGGGACAAATGGGAACCTTACACCGTAGTTCAGTTGAAATTAACGTCTCACGTGTGGCCACACCATATAGTGTTCAGTCCCTCCCTTCCCCTTCATTCCCTCAGTATGAATCAGCAAGTGCCTCCTCGCAACACACAGGTGGATATTACACTACTTTGCATTAAGACAGTTACTTTCCAACTTCATGTAGGCTAGGTATACCTTATGTAGGTATACCTTATGTACAATGTCAAGTTTTGTTCTAGCCAATGTATGCCAATATTTTGAATGTATAAATAAAAGGATTTGAAATGGAAAAAGAACTTACCTTAATGTATTCCTTGAGACAGTTGATTAAAGCAGTGCATGTTTCCATAACTATTTGCCCTATTGACTGAGGTGACACAGCAGTTAAAAACTTCAGATCTTCATAGCTATTCCCGGTAGCGAGATATCGTAGAGTTATGGACAACCGTTGGCTTACAGGAATTGCATCGCGCATGATAGTGTTCCTTTTTTCGATTTCATGAGCAACCAAAGCAAGGAGTTCATCAAATAATTCTCCGTTCATTCGTAAAAAGTTGCGGAAATCATTTGGTTCATTTACTCTCAGTTCATTGAGTAATTTTTCGTGGGTGAACTTCTCCCTATCAATAAACCATTGTTTGGCCCATTTTCTACCCTTCTGCGAGCCTTTTTTCTTCCCTTCCTTACGACTTGCTGCCACAGCAATCATCACACAACACAATTCTGAGTCAGTCAACATGTTGACGTTATGAAGTTCTGGCAGGGACTGACTGTTTGCACAATGTGGTTGTATGTCTGTGCTCACGATTGCGCAATATATTGCACAATCTTCAATATCGCCTCCATACGGTACAATCTTTTGCACAAACCAAAATATTGTACAATAATATTGACCGTCTAGGGTCCACCGTCAAAATATTGTGCAACCCACATTGCGCAATAATATTGAACGTCTAGGGGCCGCTTTAAAGCTGTAGCAGACGACGTTTTAGGCCCAGAATTTGTTCATTCAAAAGGCTATAAATATAAAACGCTTTTTTAAATTCATTTTTAAAAAATCTTATGCATATTTGGAGGTACAAGAATAAATTCTGAGATGAATATCATACACTTAATTTACATAGTGGTTACTCTTGAAAACTTATTCTCAATGACTTTATCTCCATTATCCTTCTCTTGTTTTTATTTTTTATTTTACTTTCTCAGGGCTTAGGTCTGCCACACCAGGGAAAATGGTTCCATAAGAACAGCCTATGTTCTTACTGGAGGCTGGTTTGCATATAATTTTCCATTCACCCAGATTAAGAATTTGATTAAGAGGTCTCAGTTTGTTAATATCTTTGACCTCAAATCTGATTGCTTTCCTTGTTCCCAGTACTCTTACGGAGTCTTCAATGGTATATTTTTAAAATTCTGATTTGTTTATGGATTGTTAATTTTATAGGATGAAATTTAATGTTTTCGCTTCACAAGCTAAGCTTATAATGATAACATTAGGGTTATCTTGACTGTTTACTGTTGGGTCTTCGGATGTGGTCGGTTGAGCTTCTGTGCTGTCCCTGCCGGTTTAGTGTTTTCTTGGCTGCTTGGGATTAGGATTTTACTCGCTGTCACTATTTTTTCTCGGTCTTCTATTTGATTGGGAATCAAATAATTTCATTTTGAGTTCCAGGCTTTTCTCCTGGTTCTGGATTAAGTCCAGTATCCATTAGAATTCTTATGTTCACTGCACTTCACTCCGTGAAGGTTCGGACGGTTCTTGCACAATGAATTTCATTCTACTCTCACGCTCAATACCCCTGTGGTGTGCGGGTCTGTATCATGAGCGGCCCTTCACTATTGAATGTGGGTCCTTGTTGGAATAATCAAAGATGGTTATTAGAATAAGGATACTTATACCTCATGTATCAATGATATACCTCATATTACCTAAACTACGGAAAAATTATATTTTGTTAAGTTACCCATATAAGAGTATGTTTTCTTTTATGTACGCCATTTAACGGTAGACTGTTATATCTGTAATGTAGACAACCCTCGGTTGTACTACGTAGTTCCTCCTCAATACATTGAGTTAAGCGCATCAACTCTGGGTTTTACTGATCCCCACGAGTCATATATACATTGACTAGTCAAATTGGCTTTATACACGTAGGGAAGATGAATTCTTCTGCCATATCAACAGTCCTCAATCACCCTGCGCACCTGAGATCCGCAAAGATTTTGTACATTTGCTTTCCTTGCCTACGTGTGGCACAAATGGTGGCATGTGAGTGGATTATACTATTTCCAGTAATACAACTGGCTCTCGTGACAATTGGCACGCACATGTGGTGAACAATAAAAGTTTCGAAAAGTTTCGTGGACAGTTCATGCGGTAACATTATTATTTTTTAAATCGCGCGCAATTCTTCAGTTCCCTCTTGCCCGTAACATGACCAGACAGAAATTTGAGCCGAGTAAGAAATTTCATAGTAAATACTCGATATTATGATATTATTCTTGTATAGTCATATTCTTTAAGCAATAACAAAATCTCCTTAGTGTAAGTTTGTGCGGATTTTTTCTCATTACGAAATAAAACGGCATCATTGTTTATTTACAAAAAGTGATTTTTAAATATTGATATATCTCTATATATCTATCTATCTATATCTATATCTATATCTATATCTATCTATCTATATCTATCTATCTATATATATATATTTATTTTTATTTATTTATTATTTATTTATTTTTTTTTTTTATTCCGGGCTCTGTAACACTTGTGTGTCCTATAACTTGCTCTATCATTTGTGTTTATTATTTTTCGTTTTAAAGGTGGCTGGCTTGTAGTATAAGGTAGTGGCAGAGTTGGGTAATAAAACCTACATGAAATGATAGAACAATACAAACCAAGACAAAGTTCTTCTATGGCAATATGTGTGCAAATGCTTCCCAAGGATGCTATACTTAAAAGAAAAGGGAAGATGGGTTTCTTTCGAAACAATTTTGATATTTTTCTACATGAAATCCACTGCTTTTAACGATTCTAGGCATTGTTCCTTGTGCAAATGGGCGACCTAACCCAACATCCAACCTAACCTAACCCCATGGTATATATTCCCTAGTCAGGGGGCTCTGCCCCCTGGACCCCCAGGGTAATATATATACCTAGCACCCTTGGGAAGCATTTGCACACATATTGCCATAGAAGAACTTTGTCTTGGTTTGTATTGCTCTATCATTTCATGTAGGTTTTATTACCCAACTCTGCCACTACCTTATACTACATATTGTCCAAAAATTTATCTGTACCTTATCTGGCAATACTGACTCACAGTGTAGTGTTGATGGCATCTGTCAGTGCAGCAATTGCAAAAAGATTTCAAGAAACTTAAGCCAGGGACTGTAGACATAAAAAGTAAAGTCATATGTAGGAATTGTATTTTTTTTAGTTTCACATAGCCATTCAATCTAGCAAAATATTTTTTTCAATTATCATCAACGCAGTAATATGCATGGAAATCTTGTTACTTTCCATCGCAAATTATACAAATGAAAGTATTGGTAATGTCTACGAACTGACCATACTCCATAGAGATCAAGTTCCTATTACTCCAGCCATAAGATAATACCATAGATGAGAAGTGTAATATTTTTGGTCATTTTTGCCATTCAGGAAAATTTACATTGTACTACATGCTGGTAGGAAGCAAACTTTACTGAAAGAAGTGCAACAAGTTTTTGTACTGGCCACATTCGCCAAGGAAATTAGATCTTGTAATATGTAGCCTATGGCAGGTAAGTAATGAAAGGAAGACTATGAAAATGGTTAAGGTGAAATTGATAAGATTCTTAAGTTAAAAAGAGGGAATAGTCTATAATTAATTTGAGAACCTAATCCAGACAAAGTTGTTATAGAGTATTTATGATACTACTAACCTGCTAATACAGAATTCAGCTACTGTTGGCATTTGGTTTGAGGTATTATAATGGGACCAGTTTTCCCTCTTTATTTATCAGCCTTTTCTCCATTTCCATTGGAAATAAGCTCTAATAACAGTGTGAAATGTAGCAGAGTAGTGGAGCTGTTGAGTCTTTACAACCTCAGTGTTTTAGGCTTCAGCAAAAAAAAAAAAAAAATACTATTAAAAAAAACATCAAACCTGCATATCTAGAATAACAGAATATTGTTTTTTGTTTTCAAAGTGGCAGTATCCATCTGAGACTGTGACTGGTTTGTTAAAACTATAAGAGGCCCATCCCGATTAATATTAATATCTATGGAAATGCTTCTACACAGAGATAAATACACGTCTATTTATATATATAATAAATGTGCATTTATCTATCAACCTATCAGGTAGATATGCATATGTAAAGTGATAGATATGCATTTATTTCTGTGTAGAGGTATTTTGTATTTTTTTTTGTTTCACACAGCTATCCAATCTTGCAATTATTACTCCTTTTTCATTTATTCACATTATAATGTGTATAAATATCTTATTCTCTGTTACAAATTAAAGAATTGGTATTGCTGATGAAGTGACTGAACCCCGCAAAGACTAAGTTTCCATTACACCAGCCACTCCCAGGGATATCCATAGACATTGCCAAATAAACCAAAACCCTTCCTAAGTGAAGGGTTTTTTGCCCAGACCACAATCTGATCACAGTATTTCCCTGTTCTTGCCCTAAGACCCCCACTCAGTTATTATAGACTGTTTTACCAAATGGCATTTCTGTGTCCCAACATGTTTTCCACGTTCTGGTCTTATATTTTCTTACACAGATTACTTCAGTTTACTTCAGTTTTACATGTTGCACATATCTCTTACTATCAGTGTGTGACAAAATACCATAGATGAGGCATTTTAATATCATCTTCATATCCAGGTATACCTTGTACTATATGGCTGTGCAAAACTGAAACTAAGCTGGCATTTCCATGTGTTTTCACTGGGTTGGGCCTTCTGCAATTTTAACATACTGGCCATTGGTTCCAGCCAACAACCTTATGGGTAATCTTTGGAATCTACAAACATTGCCATATAAGCCAATAACCTTTCAAACCTAGACTTTTTGTACCCAGGCCCCCACCCAATTGCCATCCAGTTTCTGTGAACTTCATTAGAAACTGTCCATAGATTTTTCGAGTCTTAGTGTGGTCATTATGTAAATAAGTACCCAGTTCTATACTGGGCTGCCAATCTTTGCAGACGTTGTATAGACTAGTATGAGCTCAGTGACACAGACATAGGCATAAACACTGTAAGCATTAATGTTTGAATTTATTACAGTATATGATAAAAATGTGAGTACCAAAATCATACAAATATAATATAACTTGTGTTAAGGTTCTATGAAAACTAGTCAAGTGTCAAGTGACAGCTTTAATGACTGGAAGCCATGAACTCTGCATCTTTGATGTTTTGGGAAAGACAAATCAACCGACTTTACATCTCTCTAAGTAGTTTACAA